GAACAGCATGGATTATAAACCAAACAGAAGACAACAATTTCAGGCTGTCATGAAAAAGACAAACATCACTCTGGGATGTGCAAACAGGAAGAAAGCTTGTAAAACACGCCAAATAACCTCACTGCTCTATCCCTTGTGGGCAAGGCCTTAGGAGGAACATGACCACTTCTGGACAACAGCTCATCACCAGAAAGGTGACACCAGCAAAAGTCACGACCACAGGCTGAAGAATGTGATTTAAATATAAGTATTGATAAAAACTGAGGGAACATGTGATAACGTTCCTTCATCTGCTGTAGGGATTGTTGCAAAGGAACAGGAAACTCAGCTTAGCATGAGCATTTCAGAAAGGATAACAGTTATGAGTTAAATCTACAGTGAAGGAAGAGTTAGAATAGACATCATGAGAAATTTATGTATTTGTTACCAGGATTGAAAAGCACTGGACTACCTAGAAAGGGCATGTGCCTGAATATCTTCATGGGACTTCAAGGACAGCTTGTCTGAGCATTGGCAAGACAATCCTTCATTGAGCTAAACAAGGAGGTGATTGTAAAAATATTCAGCTAGCAGCATTGCAATAATCCAAGATATCTAGCTCCTAGAAGCAGTAAAGAATTGTTTCAATGAATTACCTCCATTTTTGACCTGTACACTCCCATAAAAGTCCTGTAGCTTCTGTTGGTTTCACCCATCTGCCAAAGGCTACACCTCCATGAGATGGTCACATTCCAGTCTCACTTACACCAGTACATACTGAGATACAGCAGCAATTATTCAGCTTATTTTCCATCTCATCATAACAAGTTCGTCCCAATTTTTGCTGTGATGCCCAAGAAGCTTCCAGTTATTTTTCCAGAAGTCTCCTCTAGCAGGGATGGATCCCTCCAGGTCAAGGGACACGAGGGGCCTGTTTCACCTGCCTTTCCAAGTGCACCAAACCGAGCCTCTCAAATGTCAAATCACCCTATAACACACTATACAGCAGTGTTTAGAAAAGCTCTTGGGTTTAAGGTACTTCCTACCCATATGACAGGGCAAAGCAGAAGGATCTGTAAAGAGGGTACACACAGAGGTCACAGAGAACATGGCCAATGATGGGCAAAACACAACAGAGCATGGGAGGATTTCCTGCTACAGGCCAGGATGTGCAGAGGCACACATAGCTTCTGTGTTAGTACAAACCCTTTTTAAACTCTGGGCTTGAATTTTGTCTGGTAGGAGAGAAAATGGCCCAGGCCACTACTGCCTTCAGAGACCCTCAGCCAGCTGGGACAGGGCTTTCATGGCTCCAGAGCTACTGCCAGGGTCTCTCTGCCTTCCCCATCCCACCTCCACACTCATCCTCAAATTTATTTCACACTAGAGCTTCATCCTCTTTAACTAGTAGTGTCCCAAATGTCACTTTTTCACACAGACACCAAGTAACCTCCCTGCCCTCCTGGACTACAAAAGATGTGCAGTCTCTCTCTTTTCTTTACTGCTCAGTGGAAATATGGACAATTCTTAATTTCACTTGTTTGGGCTTTCTCCATGCTATGAGTCACTTCTATACTAACCTGCCTTTGCAACTCTTTTCAAGGTTTTATTCCATCCTCCAGCCTAAACACATTCCCAGACTTTTGCTGACCTACAGTGGCACCGAGTGGAAAAGTGAAATAAAGCCCTGTGTCTCCTCTTGCAGGACACAGAATTACTGAAAAATTATCTGGAGTCTCTACAAGGCAGAGTGATGAGGAGTAAAATCTTATCTTTGTACTGCTCTGGGTCTCTGCAGCATATAGATCATTTGTCAGTGCCAGTTTGAGGTAGTCTCTCTAAACAGCCTGTTTTGCATTTGAAGCACTCACAGGACATGATGGTTCGGCTAAAAAACCATGCATTTTACATGAAATCACCAGGATAATTTGGCTGTAGATCGTGTTCCCACAACTTAATATTCTACCTACAGATGCGTGATCAAGAAGAGATTCCTTAACTTTGACAGGGCACATCACATTATACTCACTTTATTATTGGAAATGATCACCCCAGGGTGCAAACGGAGCAAAGACATAGTTTCATCATACCTTTTTTTTTTTAATAAACCACATTTACTGCAGTGTGGGGTATTCCAAAGCTACAGAGCGCCACTTGCCAGTGGACAAGTGGCTATATTTTACCTGGATTGTGCAAGAAAGAAGTAACTGCTTAATTTAATGCCGAGCTGTGTAAAATTCACACTGGAAACTTCAACTTTTAGGCACACAGTTCATATCCTCCAGTAAAAAGTAATTTTAGGTAGTGAAATTAAATATTTTAAATGCTGTACTCATAGATGTAACCAAAAACTCTCTTTACTCTGGCTACACATCCTCCCTTGTACTCAGGACAGGATCCAGTACTGGACACTTGACCTTAATATTAAGGAAATTTTAACAGTTTTGATGCTTGCTAGAACCAACAATGAAAATTTTCCTCTGCTTTGATGGTTATTACAACCAGCTAAAGTTTCCTATTCTCCAGCTCTGCAAAGACTTGACTGCAGACCCAGTTGAGCAGACCAGAAAAATATATTCTTGAATCTCAACAAGCACTTGATACAGTACATTTATCTGGGAACTGATTGATACCACATCTATTTTGGCATTATGATTTTTATTTTTAATCCTCCATTTAAATACCCTATTTCACAACCAGGAAGGAAAATGAACATGGGACGGCCCATAGATATTTAGTAGCTATAAAATAAAACCTATAAAAATGAAAGTGAAATGAATTATCAAACCATAAACTAAAGTTCAGTGTTTAAAATGGGCCAGGGCTTTAAAAATTCAATTACAGCTTTAACAGAAACAAGTTTACTCAATATTTTAATAACCTTCTCTCATAATGTTTTTTTCTTCCTTTGCAAAGCCTGGCATTACTGAGGATGTATGGCAAGGTTGCCTTTCCTCTAACTACTTTAAGATTGATTAGGAAACAGAAATATTGATGCATTTATCCAAAATAACTTAATTAAATGAAGCAAAAAATAGCACACAGGAACATGTCTCAGTAGAAAACTGGAGCTGATCAAGATCATGAAAGGTTACATTTAATATTCCTGGACTGAAAACATAAGGACCATTAATTGAATATCAGTAATGGAAAATACAAAGAGTAAGAAAGTTATTTAATGTTTTCTGAACTCACTGGTGGGTTATTAATGCTCAGTAACTTCTGCAGGTTTGCAAGCTGCCAACACTTGGGGGTCCTGCAGGGCATCTCAGGACAGCAGGTGGAGAGAACATCTCAGAGTACTAATCTGCATTACCTTTGTTAATGCTCAAATACAAAGGTCTAAAACCTGATGGAAAGTCAGGTCTGTGTTTGCTCGGCGTTGACAAATGGGTATTTGTCAAGGTTTGGGGGACACATTCAGCAATGGGCTCTCTTCAAGCACCACTGGCTGCTCACATTCCTGGAGGCTCAGTCCAGGCTCAATCCTGGCTCCTGCTGGCTTCAAAGAGAGTTTAAGTGACAAAATCCCTGAAGGACAAGACTTCAGGGGCTGTTATCTCAAGGCACAGCAGTTTTCAGGTCTGTGGTTTTAGAAGGGCTTTCTCCTCATCTGTTTTCCTGTCTTTGGGAAAGGCATTGGGATTTTGTCAAAACCCCTAGAAAAACAGTGAGGATGTGTCAGATGAACTAGAGAACTTTCACTCTAGTTTGGTTTGGAAACCACCCATATCTTCATTTTAAACAGTGGCTTCTGAAATGCAGAGTAGCACCAGATCCAAGCTACAATCAGAGAGGTTCAGACTGCTCTGAGATGATTTTATTAGGGCCCACCAGGAGCTCCACAGCCTGGCAAATCCAGCTGAAGAACCAGCACCACTGGTAAATTTAAAACATTCCAGATGTAATAGCATGGAAAAATCAGTGTTTCTGAGAGAACAAGGAACTGCAACTGAAAATACATGATTCTCAAAGCTGCATCGGAGGTGAATGAACAAAGATCTTAAAATACTACCCCTAGAGTTTCCCCCCACTATGGTTGCAATCCTTTCTGAAGTACCCTGCTTAAAATAGGTTTTCAAATCATGCAAGACTAATCATTGCAATTTGGAGAGGTAAGTAGGCACTTAGCATGCAGTTCACAATTAGCTAAAGATGGTAGAAGAATCTCAGTCAGGTTGGCACAGGAGATTTTTTAAAAAAGCAAGAAAACATTTTTTTTTCTAGCAAGAATGACATGTGATGGGAGAATAGAGGAAGATAATTGTCATAACAAAGGGAATATGTTATTATTTATTGGCCACACTTAAGCACTGGAATCCTGGATTATAGTATCTGGTGACAAATGTTGCTTGAAATTTTGTAAATATCACTTAAAAAGTATGATAAATGAGTAATTCTGCACATACTCCACAACAAAACCTTTCAATAATTCAGTTCTGGGAAGCACAGTGACATTTTTTTGTCCTATATGAAAAGACAAAATGCCTGAGAACCCTAAAATCTTGTTCTCTTCAGGCTTCACCCTACTCCTACTACCAGTAGAGCAATATTGCTGGTCACTGTAGCAAGAGAATTTTTAAAACCAACTAACAAACTGAACTTTGTATGCCTTCAAGGTGTGCCATAGCCCACCCAGGTGGTCCCCTGCCCCCTCGTGCTGCTGCCAAGCCCACTCAGCCTTGTGCTGTCCCCAGCAGGGACCACTCAGCCCCATGGCACTGGAGGGAAGGGCTGAGCTGGGGAGGGTCACAACACTCAGCTCCCCACGGGCTGAGACCATTCCTTTGCCAAAGTGACAGCTGTAAATAGATATTTAGTGTCTAATTTCTAGATCCTTCAGTATCTTAACTTATATTTAGCCAAAACCATGACACATTTATCTGATTTGTTGCTATTAATTTCCTGGTTCCCTTTCTATTTTCTTCCTCCTCTCACAGATTCACTGGGTTATGAACTGCAGTAATAACATTACCAAACCAATTTTTTTCTACTTGAAAAGCTTCTGTTTTTTTTTTTTTTTTTTTTTTAATCACTCCACTAGTGCTGGGATACTCATTACCCTCCTCCTTGCCTCCCCAGCTCTAGAAGTGCATGCAAACAACAAAGAGGGGGGGAGGAAAAACCCCAAAGCCTCAGCAGTAAGTTGGCTGATGCTGGCAGCAAGACAAATCTGGCACCACACAGCAGGCAGGCAGAGAGTGCACTGCTCATCCTTTCGGTTTGCCGTGTGTGGGAATGCTGGACACCAACACCCAGCGAGGGATCCGGCCAACAGCTGCTCTCCTCGGCGCCTGAACCCTGCTGCTCTGTGCCCGGGTGGGAGATACAGGTAAAAACAGAAATGCTCGAGATGACTGCTTCTATTGCCACTGAATGCAGTCAGGAGAAGCCCAGGCTGCATCATCTTATTCCTAGCACAAACCACAGCGCAGGGGCTGTGTAATGCCCTCAGGTACCGGCACTTTTTCGGCATCCTTGGTGTTACAGTAAAAAAATCTTTATTGCCGCTTGCACCAATTTATTTTTTGGTGGGGGGGTACACTTTGTTCACATTGCCTTTATAAATATTTATTACTATTTGTATAATTATAGCTCTCTGACAGCAGGCTTTACAGCAACTTTGAGCCACAATAAACAGGCAGCCTGGATGCCTCCTCCTCAGCCTGACCGTACCTATTCTAGGTGTTATATGTTTATCTATTACCACCATGCTTTGAGCTTATAATTTATTTCATAATGTAATTTATAGTTACATTACAAAAGCATCCCTCTGCAAACAGCAACCATGTAATATTGATAAAGCATTTAGGTACAGAACATAAATTCAACGGCTCAGATATTATGTAGTATCAATAATCTGCAGGGAGAAAAAGTGTCTGTGTAAGTATGCACAATTTATTATGGCAGGAACCTAAACAGAGAACATCTTTCTCTGTCAAACTTTCTTTAAGAGAACTTGACATCCCCAAATTCTTTTCTCTCCCACAGATGTCAGAGGACAAGACAGACAAGGTAAAAATCAAAGCAGCTGAAAGTTTTGAACATGAAAAGCAGAATATTTCTTGGCTGAAAAAAGGTAAGTTACTTTGAGTTATTAGTTACTGGTTTGTGTTCAGACATTTCTGTTTTTCTTTAAAAAAAAAGCAGAAAATAGCCTATAGGCTTGAATGTGGCCTGAAATTTCTACCATAAAAATTCCATAGCTTGACTTCTGTGCAATATGCACATACAATTTCTTTTGGTACAGAAAGGCCTAAATTATCAAGTTTTAGAGTAACCTGAAAGTGCATTTTTCTAATGTCCTTGCATTCCTGGGAAAGTTTTATTTGACCTGACCTATAAGTATGGATGATCATCTTATTCTGATGAAAAGCTTTTAGTGACTAAAACTGTTACTGAATTGGATTAATACTATTAATAATTATTAATAATTATTTTCTCAAATATGAGTAAAAATCAAGCCGGAATCTTCAGATTTGGCAGTGTCTTATCTTAGAATAAAGAAGCATCAGTTGTCAGCGCTTTGGATGGACAGAAACATAGACCTTCAAATGTAGGCAAGTCATAAAAGATAAGTATGGGGACAGTTCAGGTTTAAAAGGTTGAAAAAGAAATGGCATTAAGTAGATAATTTGAAACAAACACCAGTATTTCAAATACTATGTTCTATTTTTTTAAGCTATTAAAAAAAAAAAATTGGAAAGATTTCCTTATTGTTTGTACCCATAAAGAAGGAATCTTCTTAGGATATATTTCTTGCTGAAAAAATTTGATTTGCCAAGTTAGAACATAGCTTATTACATCTTTATGCAAATTTGTTGGTCATAGCAGAATCCCTTTATTGCATTTATTACAGACAAGTAGGATTTGAATTAAATAAAATTTCCAAGAGTAAGCTTTCAAGATGCACAAGATAGAAATTAAACGTCCATGGCTGGGTGCAAATTATGCTTTTTAATGAGAACAGTTGTATTCTAATCCTAAAAAAATTTATTTTGGGAAGACTCAACAAGTGACTTCATATTTTGAAAATGCCAACTATGGGAGTATTGGGCAAAAGGCACATTTATAGCCACTGCTATGTCATCTGTAAGATGTGCATCACTATTTTAAGCTCATGTCTTTAGATCTTTTAGTTGCAAATGAGTTTGCAGCAAAGCAGGCTTGAATTAATGTCCCCTCCTTGGAGCCTTCCATGTTTCTGCAGCATTTGCACAGAATGAAAAGCTGCCACTGGAGCAGAGCCCACTGACCAGCAGGGTTCACTGACCAACCTCCAGTCCTTGACTGGACACCCAAAGTCCTCTGCTTGCAAGGGGTCAGTTAACTTCAACAACAACACAGCAAGCAGAAACTTTCTTGTTTGAGTGTCCCAGAGAAGGATAAAGCTGAGTGAGCAAACAGCAAACATGTAACTGAATTGAGTATTTATTCTACCACTAGAGAGTAAAACGCAAGAGATCTGCGACTCTACAAAGGGATATAAAAATCCAAAGGATTTTACCATGTCTCTGAACAGGGTAAGATTGATGGCAGGGCCCTCAGAGTCCCACATTGTAATTTATCCTCTGGTCCAGACCTCCTCCAGGAGCCAGGTACATCCCTCACAGCTGCACGCTACCTGAGCTCATTTCACTGAGCTAGGCTACCTCACAAGGTTTTCTTCCTCCAGTTCCTCATGCAGAGTTTCAGGATCATTAGCAATGTTTTGATTGTTCTGTGCTTGAAGGAGCTATAATCTCTCAGAAAGAGCCAAATGTTGACTATTGGCACTTCTCCTTTCCAAAGTGCCACCGAGCAGAATTGGGCCTTGAAGACCTTCTACAGCAGCTGAGTCAATAACTGAATGTGTCTCATGAGGAAAGCAAATTTTCCTTGAAATAAGAATATGGAAATTATTTTATCTTAAATTGAAGTTTGTTTTTAAAAATTTTTGTTGTTGTTTCTTTGCTTTAAGCACTTCTGTGGTATGCACTGGGATTTTAGAATATGGTGAAACAAATTGTCTGGAGCAGAAGCTTAACTTCTATGTTTAAATGTTTTAAAAATACCTCATGTATAGATTTCAGGCATTCCAATAAACAAAGAATTGTGGAGAACAGACTTGTACTGTTTCCATCAGGCACAGTAAGAAGACTATATGTTCTTTTAGCATCCAGTGTTAAAGAAAAAGTTATTTTTATTCATGGTTTTGTATTGATTATTTGTTCCTTCTAAAAGAAACAATCATGAACCACATAGTATCAGAAATAAACAACTAGGCTGTGGTTTTAGTGTCTTTCCTAGACTTCAGTTTTTCCTTATGCTTTGCAAAGTAAAAGCTCATGGACTGGTTGTACAGTGGGTCAACAGCAAAATAAGGTATCTATAAATTTTTGTTGTCCTTCAGTTCTAGAAACTGTTTAATCAGGGCAGGAGGATTTTGATCTGGCTGCCAGTTATTTATCTTCTACTTTTTCTTGGAAGAAGATAATTTACTTCTGTCGTGAACCCTCTAAGAGCAGAAATCAAAGCCTCATTCTGAGAGAGAACTTTCTCAAAGCAAAACAGAAACCAAACCTGCCTTGTCAAAAGTATTACAGAAAAAGAGTAGGCTGGGCATCTAGAATTGTATCTTATCAGCAGGAAAAGTATAAACAGTTCAGCTCATGGCTCTGCCTCTAAATAAGTCATTTTTACTCACTGATGTGCCCTCACACCCTTGCCACGGGTGCACCAGGAAACTGAAGGCAGTTCAAGATGACGCAGGGACAAAAATGTTGCACAAGTCAGCACAGTCTGGGACAGACACATGTACATAATCATGGCCTTGGCCTGTAATTTTTTTAAAGGACAATGACAAATTTATCCTTTTCTTTTCTCTTTTTCCTTGTACTACAAGCCTTTTTATGGTCAGGGGTCCTCTACAGCATCTGCAGAATGTAGAACCATAGTGAAATAGTAATCAAAATGCAAGCAGGGAAGAAGAGTGTTAAATGTGTTTTCTAGATGAGCTTAGACTTTAAAAAGTTCCAAAACATCTCTATCTCTTGAGGCACTTAGCACTGAAGTCTAGATGTGGATAACATGAAAGACTCCCAGAGCTGAAAGTGAGAGCAAGGATGGTGAAATGCTTACAGTCCTATTCCAAGATGTTTCAGGGCAAGGACTGTATACACCAGAAATGCTTTCTGATAGTATGGAATATTCTTTAGGACTATTTATTTCTAAAGATCACACAAACCCTGCATCTGGAGGGTATGCATCAGACCATCACATGCAAATCAACCAGAATTCAATGTATGAATGAGCTTGGAGAAAAGGCAGCTCTGCTTGCCTGACCTGAACACTGATGTGAACCAACCCAAGGAAAACCTGGGATACAGCAGCAAAACCTTTATTTTTGAAAAAATAAAACAAAATAAAAAGGAGATATTTAAATTAGATGTTAGGAAGAAATTCTTCCCCATGAGGGTGGTGAGGCCCTAGCACAGGGTGCCTAGAGAAGCTGTGGCTGCCCCTTCCCTGGAAGTGTCCAAGGCCATGTTGGATGGAGCTTGGAGCAATCTGGGACAGTGAAATGTGTCCCTGCCCACAGCAGGGGATGAAACAGAATGACCTTAGAGACCCCTTCCATTCCAAACCATTCTAGGGTTCTGTGATTCGATAAGCAACAAGCAGATCATCACACCTCGAACAAGAACCACCTCTGGCCCCTAACCCAACATGGTCCTCAGAGGGTCCTGTAAAATCTGGAAGCTACACAAGACACACCTTTAGAAAGGCAGTACCTAAGGATGAGCAGCACTCCCAGGAACTCACTGGGATGGTCCCACCTTGCCTGAGACAGCCACATGGGCCAGTGGCTCCTTCCACCATGGCAGATTTAGTGCCAGATTAGCAGCCATCTGGTGGGAAAGGAGGGAGGTCAAAGCAGAGCTAAATTCACACCAGCCCCAGCATGTGGCTTTTGGAGTTCCTCACAAACAAATCTCTTGGTATCACTCGGTGATTACAGCCATATGGAAACGTGGGAGCAGGCAGGAGCTTATCTGACGGACATAAAGCTATAAAAGGTGACACTGATTTTGCACAGGGACCACATTGGTCTGTTCACTATTTCTGCATCCATTGCAAAAGCAAGGGGAAAAAAAAAATCTTTGAGGGCCTCACACTGCCCTCCCATGGTTTCATCCCAAACTGGCCACGGCAGCCCAGGAACGCAGATCCAAGGCACACAGAAATGAAATTTCATTTCAGGATATTTTCACACAAAGCCCTCCTGTTTTATGCTGCCCAGCTGTGTACACAAATGTCCTCCATATATAACTTCCAGTGAAAAGTTAATGAAATGGCTTCCTTGCTCTCTTGCCAAAAATATAACTGAAAGTCTAATCTCAAGACTTTCTCCAAAATAGCCCCTTTTTGCACTAAAATTCTCATAAATCAGAAACATTTTTGTCTAAAATAAGCCTGTTTTCATTGTCTTGCAAATAGTAAAAAGTCTAGCCCCAATTTCTTTAATCCACTGCGCCAGCCAGCAGATTTTTGCTGTAGGGTGAAATTCAGCCCAGTACTGAGGGTCAGTGCAAGGTCAGCACTTAAACCATAAAATAGGGCTTAAGTGGTAAATAGAGCCTCTGTTCAGGATTATATTTCACCCCTTAAAAGGACTACATTTCATATGAAAAGAGAGATTTACTTATATCATAGACCTGGCTGTAGTGGCATTATTCAAATAATACCTTATTCCAGTATTAGTCCCATTGGGTGAGACTGGGCCACATTTCTTCATGGTACATCCCAACACGGGAGCAGACTCTTCCTGACTTCACCAAAACTTCCCACAGCCTGGCCCTGGGATAAGAGGAAAACCTTTCTGTACAGCAGCACTCAAAAGTGCCTTTTTCCAAGAATACTTCTCCCCCATTTACCCAGGGGCTTGAAGAGATTTTTACAAGCATTAATAAAGTTGGAAGAACACAATGCCACGAGACTGGTATTGCAGAAGGAGAATTGTTCTGGAAATACTCAGGGAATTTCCCAGTTTTTGCAACCTTCCACTTTTATCCCTGGTTTGGGAGGACTGGAGTAAAA